AGGAAATCGGGATCGAGTCGTATAGCTGCAAGCTAGCTGCTTCCAATATATCAATGACGTCCGGCTTTTATGTTGGCGAAAATAAAATTACAGACTCGCTTACAATCGCAGCTTACAATCGCCGCGAGGGGCACGGCACGGCGGCAGAAACTGGCGCGGGTGGTCCCGCGCAAAACGCAGCTGTAAACGGCAAAACGGTAATTATCGGTGGCGCCAGCCCGCGTGCCACGCTATGCCACGCGACACAGAGCATTGCTAGTATGAATTTATGCACCCCATAAACCCCGGGGCAACGTGGCGCGACTGCGAAACACGGCAAAAGGGCGCGGTGAGCGCGGCAGGAAAATCTCGACGTTTGGTTTCGATGGTATTTCAGTTGGGAAATCAGCCTTCGAGACTCTGTTAAAATTATCCCTGTGGTTTTACCCTGCCCTACAAAAAAAAGTCTCGTGAGATCCTCAAGTTTTGCAGAATTTATAGAAGTTAATTCTCGATTTTAGTTATAATAATAACTGAATATCATAGCATCCAGATAAACATAATTCATCTTCATGTTAAACAAAGCGAATTTATATGCATCATTTATATGCATTAGTGTACAATTTTGGATTATCTTCCTTGCCCTTCTTATATAACGTGTTGTTCTCTTCCTATTACAGTTGCCACTTTATATTCTCTTTACCTTGTTGAGTATATTACTCGCGATTAAGACACATTTTTCATGCACTGCCGATTGAAACTTGTCTCTCCAATGAGCGGTCGTTTATTTCGCAAAATGTATATTATCTTGTTAACAAAAAACGATCATTTACGTACATATTAAACGCGTCCGCTTTCGTAAAAAATTTTTTATGCGTTTTCGCGCGAACAGATATGCGTTACGAAAGGGGTATACGATTGCGTAATCGCGTCTTAAGCGGATCGCTTTCCGTAATCGAGACATTGCGGTCGATACCCGGAGGACTTCCACGGTCGGCTGAAGACTATTTCCCTCGCGAATCAACCCGTTTGTACGGACGCACCGCAAACAATCGCCGCCGGTTCTCAGGAGCGGAACGAAAGCAATCCTTCCAGCACAAGTACAATGTACCCTCTCGACGTACCTTATACCGGGATAATTAGAAGAGAATTGCTTTGTCATTTTCGACGTGCAATAGAGCGCTTAACAAGCTCGTTCGCAATCTGAGCGCGGTCTGTGCCCCTGTGTATTCGGAATTTAATTAGAATCGAGTAACGTCTCTCCCCCATGAAACAAGGCTCTCGTCATTCCGCGATGTAATTGCATTTCACACTGAGGAATAACGTGACTTTTTTTTCTACTTCCTGTTCTTCGAGAAAAACTCTGTATAAATTGCTACAAAATATTTAGACTAGGAAAAGTACAAAATAACAAATCTTAATTCTGATTTTCATGGAATCCATTATTCTTTATCTTAAAAAAAGGATATAAAGGATTTTTCTGTTCAAAATCGCAGTGACACATTAATAATATTAAAATAATGTGACGAACATGAATGGTTACCGTGTGACTACCGCGCTGTTTCGTGCTAATGTTCTTTTGCTGGCCACAAAGCGAAGTGTATTTAGTTACTCAATGCATATTCTACCATAGGTATTGGGCTATCGCCGTATGCTATCCGGACAGTGCGCAAATAATACCGTTACAGGAACACGACGTCCTGTATAAGCATATCGTATACACTATACACCTGGTGTCGTTGCCTCCTGACGCCAATCGTGTGAGGTGTTTTAACGAGCGAACTTCTGCCTGCAAATTTCTTTCGCGTTAACCGTTCTTGCGTAAGACATTCCCGAGATCTGATATCGACTCGTTGATGTTCGCCGCATATTAGCAACCCGATACCGTTATAAATAACGTTCGTCGCTTTCGTGAACGTTAACAATGTGGTCAATTACAACGCCTAGCCGCACAACGATACCCACACAATGACAAAAAAAAAAGATCCATTGGCGAGAGAAAGAGAGAAAGACCATAACGGAGTATCATGACTATTATTCGCGCGACTGATCAGAATGAGTGGGAGAATTTATCATAGTTCAAGACTTAAAAACTCACGCGGGGAACTCTCAACAATCGGATCGTTTGTTTTGAAAAGTGTATGAGTCAGTACAATTGAATTTCATAACAAAGAGATATAGCGGAGAATAAATGATACTCTATCTATACCCGCATATCTGCTTATTAAATCCGGATTGGATTAAGTTAATGTTTTTTTTTAAACTTTGCACTCTGTTTTATTATTTCCTCTGAAACACGTGTTACTTTTCAACACGTCCTGTAACTCCCACATTTGCTGTACGAAAGAGGGACATATTTTGCACGACCGATCAATAAACATCGAATTAAATTGAATAATAATTTGCATTAAAAGACGGGTTTTCAATTTCATTTTGTTAGTCAACAACCGCAACAGATGCCGCTTTCGCAAATAGCAATAAATATCAACCGATACCGTCGTTATTAAGCGGAGATTTAAATCCCCAGGAACGCAGATTGCGCGGAAAGCAATTCACGGAAACAGAAATATCTCATACATTACGCGCGCGTAAGTATTATCAGCGCGCATATGTGCTGTTGTTTTGTCGGCGATTGTTCTCTCTGCGAGAAGCGGAATGGTTTGCCGCAGGATCACAAATTATCATAACGACATTCCGAGGCTATCGCCAATGCCGTACGTTTGCCCGAACGGACTAAACACGATGATAGTTTTATTTTCCAATGTGGGAAAAAAGCGTGCGACCTTTGATTTCAGGCCGACATACATTTTCATGGGCGATACATGTTGCTGTTTTAATCAACATTACAGCCACAACTTTATTATATAAAATATAATACTCTCTATATTTTTGTCATTAAGCAAAGAAAGAATTTGAAGAGAAATCAGTAATGTTATAATCACATTATTTTAATCGACTCGGGAGATACACGAAGCCACTGTTTTTTAATAGCCATATTCCGCATTCCGCGCGCGACTCAAAACGTGACGGCGACCACGAGAAGCGCGGGAAACCGTAACAAAATCGTGATCCAACTTAATACAGGCCTCACGATTATTGCGGGAGACTGTCGCATCGTCCGTAGTCGCCGGGGGATCGAAGCCATCGTCGAGCGACCCGCGGGAAGTGTTTTACGTGCAAATGGAAATCACGGGTTTGCGCGCCGAGTGATCTTTCCACGTCTTCCTCTTCGCGATTCCGACACCGGAGCGTTATTAGGTGAAAAAAGGAAGGCGGAGAGAAGAGCCGAGAAAAAGACGGGCTACCGCACGCCCGTCGGGAGCTAGGAATGATCCATTAAGCTCGTTAGGATTTAAATCCGGGGTCGATACAAGGTTTTCCGCTTGACGGGCGTGGCGTCTGTTCTCCATCCATATACAGGCGACCACACGTCCCACATCTTCAACACGATCTGCGTTTTCTCTCCGCGGGGCCGCGAAGTGCGCGATAATCGAGCTGGGAGCTCGCCTACGTGGTAACTGTACATTGTGGGTCATTGCTTGCGATAAGTGCCCTGAATGTCCGACATTTTTGCGAGATGTTAATGGGCTCGATCTTGGACACCGTGCGTTGCGCGCGCGACACACACCGCGCGCGGAGATATATTCTCTTTTATCGATTAGCCATGCCTACCCGACACGTCGACGTATCGTAGAGAAGCGGTTATGGGCGAAATTAAATTTGCATAAACGTCCCAGGTCGGCTCGACCCGCTCGCTCGCCACGGATTTATGCCCGTCTTCCGGGACGGAAATCGTGCGGCTGGAGGGCATTTACTCTCCTAGAGGAAATTTACCTACTTTTGACGATTATGCACGATTTCACGCGGCAATCTCGATCGCTTCGTCGCCGATACATCATTATCGATACGTAGAATATCCTTCCCCTTTATCGCTTTCCCGTTAATGACACTTTGACGAATCGGGCTTTTCCGTCGAACTCCGTCGAACGCATAATTGCAAAGTTACTACCGGAAATTATACTCTCTCGCCGAGTTGAATTGAAAGAATGCGAAGCAGGCTGTTGCCTTTCAGAGTTCATTTCGAACAAACTTTCTTTAATTCAAAGCGCAATAACTCAACACTGGGAATTGCAATGTTATTACAGCAAACAACTGTGAATTATCGAGCTTTTCCGCTGTCAAATAAACGAATGAAAAATAAATAATTGAAGTTATTGAATTCGTTGGCGCGGCTGTTACCGATCAGAGCGATTGATGGTTAAAAGATTTTGAGCGTTATTGTATTAACGGGCAGATTGATGTCTTCCGCCAAAAATCAAGTGCAAAATTTCCTCGATTCGCGATCAAAGATCTCGATCCGTCGCGGCTACGTGCGGGAACGCACGGCCGATCGATCTTTCGTAGATCTGCTTGAGAATGGCGCGCGTGGCATTTTTAACGGTGCCGATAACGCACCTGGCGCAATAATGCGCACTTTGATGAATGAGGTGTATTTCTGTCGCGGTCCGTAGGAGTGCTCCCGTTTTCTCAGATAATCGCGGCTAGAAACTCGCCGATCCTGTTCACTCGCCCAGCGAAACTCGACGGCGAATCGCCGAGCGATCGTCGCTCTTATCGATAACGCGTGAGCGGATTATCGGATGTGTGCGTAATCGACTCGCGGTTACTCCGAATTAGCTTAAGCGATAAAATAATTAACGGGATCGCGGGAGAGAAATTATCGATGCTCACGGTTATCGTATACGTCCGGGACGCTATTTGAGATTCGATCGCGATTTCCGTGAATCGTGCATAAATCGATCAGCTGCAGCAGCGATTACTCGATCGACTACCAGATTTTATACGTGGCTACCAATTGGAACCGTTAAATCGGCAAGATAACAAATCTTCCTTGCGTGATTACAGAACTCAGAGGTATAATTCAAAGATAACAAATAGGTAAACAAGATCTTTTGCAATAACACGGTACGCTGAATAAATGTCGATATGAATATATCCGCGTCCTTTAAGTAGCTTCTTACCTTCGTACGAGACGTGGCGAAAATCCTCGGTAGCACGAACGATGGCGGCGAGAATCTGCAACGTCATCGTGTACACGGTCCACCGCTCCATCTTGGTCACGTGCGGTCCCCGCTTCTGCAACGCAAAACATCGATTTTTTATTCTGACGCGTCTGATCCTTTTACGGATCGTGTGGGAGTGGGCCGGAATCGATTATCAGGCTTCTAATTGGGACGCGAGGCATCTCGGGTAGCACTCACTACCGGGGTCGAGAAAGCCTGACTAATGGTGGGATATTGGGAAAAGAGCGAAATAGTCGGAGAAATAGCTGGGAAGAAAGACAGAGAGTGAGAGAGTGTGAGAAATAGAGAGAGAGAGAGAGAGAGAAATAAGAGAAAAAGAAAAGAGAGAACAAGTCGAGAGATGCGAGAGAGAAAGAGAGAGCGGTAGGCTCTCTCTTCGTCCATTTCCTTGACATTTACATGTCCGTGCCGTTAGGCCACGTCCAACGAGACGGCCTTGGACGTTTTCTACGTGCGAGCGGGCACGCTGCAATTAATTGCGCGAAGATAAACCGCACGGTTATCGATGGCAAGATTAAGATCGATTGGGCCATCTCTGAGTAATCCACAGACGATGCGATTCCACCAACGACCGTTCCGTTTCAACGACTCTCGGCAGCGTGGTTAGTCGCCTACTCATGTGTATCACATAATGTCCACCAATTAAGTCGGCTCATCTAGTCGGTCCGGAAAAAGCTTCGAGATCATTTTCACTGTCTTACTATAGCCGTTAATGAATCGTATCGCGGTGATTAAATCCGTGAGTCGCGCGCGGCGATTAGGTTGCGGCGTGCTGGTGATTTAAGTAACTGCATGGTTCGATGAGTTAATAAAGTCGTATTAATTTCAGAAACTATGTTAACCACATAAGAAAAAAGTAGGAACTATGTTAAATGTGACAATATGAGAAAGTTGCGCGAGAATTTCTGATTGTGGTACAAGACGTATACAATCATTTGTTTCGCGGTAGATTTACTCAACGTTAAGACATTAATAGCTTTTTCTCTCTTTCTCTCTTTCTTCTTACATTTGTGAGTGAAAGATAATAGCAGTAAGATTTCTTAATTAAAATTTTTTCTTCTTATTGCAATTCTTTTCTTTTATCATTCTGTTGAGAATTGTTTCTTTCAGCGGCGTATCTAAGCAAAAGAAGGTTAATCGACAACAGAAGCGTCGTAACGAAGACGAAGAGTGTAGCCTAGCATCAAATCCAATTATCGCTCGGCTAAAAGGATGGCCAAGTTAGTGCGCCAGTCGTAGAATCGGCTTCTTACGACGCAGTATCGTTACGTCGAATAATTACCGGATCGCCTTGAGATCGGACAAAAATCGCGACCGGATCGGACACGCTGGCTGGGATCCCTCCAGAGAAGCTTTATATCTCACCAGTGCTACCGCCCTTCTCGATGGACGGTAATTAATTATGCGACCCGGAGCACTCTCGGATCAACAACGACGCTTCTGTCCTGTCAATTAACGTCCACCTTTGTTACTCGTTCCAGTCCGTCCACAAAAAACTGTCGTGACTATCTGACGAACGAACATGTACTCGATCAAATATTACAAAGGCATCACGCTTTCTTTGTGCAGAAAAGAGCACCGTAAAAAAAACAACGGAATAGTATCAGTGGATAAAACATTATATCAATAATTCGCCGAATTAGAACTGTATCCATTTATATTATTTTGACAAATTAGAACTGTATCCATATGATTTTGACAAATGTATAGTACAAATAGAAAAATAAAAGCCAACATTTTTTTCATAAAATTATTTTCTGACAATCCTGCTTGTCATAATAAAAACATGACCCAGCAGATCTATATGGAAAATAAACCGCAATAAATTGCCGCGGGAGTATACATTATAGAAAAAAAATTATTAACTCTCTGAAATTTCAAAGGTGATTCTATCCGCCCCGTTCCGCGACGATGATCGCGTAAAAACGGTCTCGGATTATATGATAATTCGGTCGATCTCTTCCTTTTACGCTTATTTTACAACGGTCAGCCGCGATTATCGCATCCCAATTCGTTCCAGGCCTGGCGGCGACGAGGAAAAAAAAAAGGTGGCAGACGGAGTATCCGTACGTGTGCATTCACACCCCGGCAGCGATCGGAACGACCTTAATGCACGCGAGGCTCCCGAGGAATGCAGATGCGCGTACGCGCGCCGCATCTCCCGCGAGATGATTTATTCGTCTTGGCGTCGTGAGGCAGGAGAATACTGTATGGCAAAATCGCTATGTTGTACGTCACGCATCGATATTCATAAATGTCATAGCTGGACCGCGTGATTCTGACAGATTGACCTTACGTCTCACCTCTTGTGTCGTTATACTCGCTCGATCGTCGACTTTAGAGTTTGGAGGATTAGATATAGAAGCAAAGCCGCTTACACAGCAGCGACGGAATTTTAGAAAAACTCGCATTTAAAAAAAAAGGAAGGAAAAATGCTTTATCTTTATTTATTTAAGTATCCACCAGCTTACTACCAACGCTATCTCAAATAAAATATTTATACCGAGCGATATTGATAGATAGTCATAGGGATTATATATTTGTATTTGCGATAACGAATCAGTTTAGAGTGATTGAACGATATCTCATGTCGAAGACACAGATTTAGCGGTTCTCGCAAATCAAATAAACGTTCAATCGTTGCAGACGACGACGACGGTCGCGTAAGTTTATACGTTATTAAAAGTGCATCTGTGGATTTATGTATATGCACATCAATGATGAATGGGTCAACGAAATATCTAAAGGGGACGTCATATTATTATCGAAGAGCGTCTACATGGCGAAGAAGAAATATCTACCTAATTAACCTGATAAATGCATGTAATATGTGTACATGCGGTAATTTGTTAGGCTGTGTACTCAGCGTTTCAGATGTTAATATCAAGTGGAAAGCATGCTCTCCTTAATTCGTCTATCATGTGAAACTCGCGAATCGATACAAACTACAAAGTAAAACTGCACACGTCTATTTATGTATACATTTATGACCATATGTATGTCCATGTCATGGAATGTAATTGTTTCTCTCTCATCTTTCCTGAGAAAAGAATAATATATTTCCTGTGAGAAAAAGCAAATTTATTCGTTGAGAATAAATTAATAATTTTGCTCCTGATTCTTTTATCCTTCAATACATGTTAAGTTAAATTTTATTTTACTTTATCTATACAATTTTAAGATAATTTTGAGTATTGACAATTTAAATTAAATATTATTAAGAATATTTTGTATAAATCGTTAGATACATTCTATATTGGGAGCTCCAGAGAGTTGATGTCTGATCTCCATTAAACCACATACAAGATTCGCGATTTTTTACTAAATATTGCTACAGAGTTTCTAAATTTCATCATTATTTCGGATTTCTATCTATGCAATAGACATCGTTACTTATTCCCAGAACTTGACCGCGCGTTAACCCGCCAAAGAACGAAGTTGATTAGAGCAATCACTATATTCTTTGTCTGGTAATCTAATCGCGACTTCATTTCACTATCGCCTCGCAATAATCATTCCTCTATCGTCTGTTTGCAAGCTCACGTGTCAATGTTTATGAATTCTCAACTATCCTCCGTATTCTCCGTATCTTACGACACGACGAGCTCGAGCTTAAACTCATCCGTTATTTCGCTCGCATCCGTGGCCTCTATCGCGCTCGGATCTCGGGTTCGAGTAGCAAAATACACGTATCTATCCGTCCGCGTTTCTATTCGCCTATCTAAGAAATGTGCAACGTTACTTTGCTCGTCGCGGGCTGTAGCAACGCAGGACATTTATGACTACGCCATTAGTCTTTATACTCGGCGTCTTGCGACGTGCTGAGATCTATCGCTATTTTGTGCTCGGACTCGCGTCCCGCTCGACTGCGCCTATCTATCCGCGGCGACCTATTTATATGTGTGTATATCCCGGAGAGAGAGACATAGAGGAACAGAGAAAGAGACTGTATATCCTATCGGCTTATTTTATTCCGATGCGAAGTAAGACGCGCCTCACTCAGCGTTTACTACGAGGTAAACTCGTAAAACTTTAGCTCGTGAGTCGCGCGCGTGTGGACCACACAGAGCGATACAACGCGATCCGAAAGTCAGGATGTACACAAGAGGTAACACAATGGGCGATCGATATAAACCATTCGATGGAATGGAGCGTGTAAAGGAGTTAGAAATAGGTATCACTTCCCGTGCCGCTCGCCAGCGATGCATTGTTCACCATTTTACACACATTTTACCTTGCATCCGAATTTGGCGGATGTCTGACAAAAACGTTCTGTTTTTTTACTAACTTTTAAATCACTTTTCGCTAGAATATCTGTTTTAATGAATTTTACAAAAGCACTAGATATATGTTCCTTACACGCCTTTGATTTCGATCGGCGAATTTATCAAACTGTTTAAAGTCATGACTTTCTTTTATCATTGTAAAACAGAGTCTGTCACGTTCTTCACTGTATGTATTCACTGTAGGTATTCTCCTTTATAAAGAGTAGATACAATATATCACAACCCATAGATCGTTCAGTCATATATGCCCTCCCAGGTAGATAACGGCGTAATCATTTATGTAAATGGTGAAGTGATACTTTCGCATATACAATATTTTAAGGATTAACGATTGTCTTCATAAAAGACCGGTCTCCGTGAGAGACCGTAACATATTTTGGCACGCCAAGCAGCATGGATATACCGAATCGATATTCGGGCAAGAACCGGTATATCGCAGCGTGATATGACTGTTGACTAAATCGATATTACGCTCGCATATTACACAATGAAAAGAGTGCCACGCCGCGGTGTATGTTCGTATATTGAAAGATAATATTGCCTAATAATACATTCCTGATCGCGCGCGTCGAAATAATTCATCGTGACTATTCGACCGTAATTATTTCCCATTCAAGCAACCGTCACATTTGTTCAAACAAACGTCCTCATTTACTCGGACGAGATCAGTAGAGAGTGCGGTTGGTCATGGACACCCTGTGTACGGTGATCCAGGTGTATGAATGCGGTAGACGTGGACACAGGCGCTGCTTATGTCGTGAACCAC